AAGCAGACTGAGGCGATCCGACACATCCTGCCCCGGCGGGCAGCTGCTGCCTCCACCCGTCCACCGGCTGCAGCGCCCCAGCCTGCTCGCCGCCAAGGGCGAGCCCCCGCGTCCGCTCGCACGCCACATCCGCAGCAGCCTTCAGCAAAGCGGCGCGGACGCGGTGGAACGTCCGGCGCCGGGCCTTCACGATGAATCCGCGAGAACCGTGGAAGGCTGGGTTCCATACTGAGACCCAAGCGTTGAGATCCTCCGTTTTTTTGAAAAATGGTGAGTGGAACTACTTGTCCCGAGCCCCGGCCTACACCAGATAGGGGCGCAGGCGGCTCGCACAGAGCACTGGAAGGGGCAGCACCATGGCGTTTTGGTAGGGATCCCAATTTGTCGGTCACCAACGTGACTCGGAGTGACCGACTGAAAGGGAACGTCTCGGTTACGTATGGTAACCCTCGTTCCCTGAAGGAGGGAACAGAGACGTCACATCCCGTCGCCACGGTTGCTGTAGCAACTTGGCTCGTTTAGTTTACACTCGAAGTGGATTGGTCTATCGAAGCGATATCCCAATTCGTCGGTCACCGACGTCTCCGTTCCCTCCTTCAGGAAACGAGGGTTACCATACGTAACCGAGACGTTATCTTAGTTCAAGTTTAGCACTGTCTGAACTGGGTTATTAATTAGTCCTGGATATGGTTTTGAGATATTAAACTGTGCAGTAAAATATTTGAATATTTACCAGATGAATAACTTAAAAAACAATTGGCCAAGTGAAAGGAAATCAAGTAGGTTTTACAAGGATTTGTAGTGCTGTGACGCATCTCATTGTCCCCACACAACTGAATTAATTTTGTAATAAATTTAAAATTAACATTATTGGCAAAAAAAAAGTTATATATTTAAGAAAAATATGTTACGTTTATATATTAAGTATGTATATATAATATAAATTATATGAATATAAATATATACATGTAAATACATATATATATTTTTTTTTTTTAAGAAGAAGAAGAAAACTGTGAAAGTTTTGTTTATCCATATTGGACTTTAATAAATATATAGCAATATGGAAGGGCAGTAAATTAAATTAAAAAAATATATATTTTTAAAATTAAATTACACACACACACACATACATATATACATACATATATATATATATATGTATTAAGCAGCGCAACTGTTTTCAACATTGATAATCGCACCTTAGAATGATTTCTGAAGGATCATGTGACACTGAAGACTGGAGTAATGATGCTGAAAATTCAGCTTTACATCCCAAGAATAAATTATATTTTACAATATATTTAACATAGAAAACAGTTATTTTAAATTGTAATGATATTTCACAATATTAATGTTTTTTACTGAATTTTTGGTCAAATAAATGCAGCCTTGATGATTAGAAGAGACTTTTTAAAATAAACTTACCATCCCCAAACTTTTGAACTCCTAACTAAATGCAAACCATTACTGTATTTTGACCCTTTAATGTATCTGCTTATTCCTTTCACTATAATATAATTGTTCCTTTCTTATATTTTGACTTTGATCAGACAATATGAGCAGCACACAATGACAGTCTTTCTCTGTGACTGTACTATGACCAAGAGAACGACCAGAACACCATGTCAACTGAACATAACAAAGAGCTCAGAGTCTGTTTGAACAAGACGCTGAGTAAACAGAGCTGCCTCCACGTGTACAGATCACACAGAATTATTATCACCCGTCCCTTCAACCCCATTACTGCCACACTATCTTCTTTCTTAACCATTTCTGATAACAAGAAACTATATGATAGCTGAATGGAATAGTTCAAATTCAAGAACTGGTTAACTTAAGCACATAAAAATGTTCAAACTTTAGCACTACAACACAAGTCGCAATTTCTAAGACACATTTCAACAAATACAACCATTCATTTCAACACTTAAAGATTCAGAGAGACCATAATGGTGTTTGGCAGTAGCTACAATTCAAGTGTCAAAGATTTACATCTTCTACTTTGAGCAGCCATCTAGATCTTACATTTTCACACCAACAAAAGCATCTTGATTAAAGCTGCTCAAGAATTTTTTTATTAAATTTTGATTAGATTTCAGGAACAGCAAGAAGAAAGAATTTAATAAGACCAAAGCAAAGAGACGTTAATCTGCTAATGAAGTTTCCTAAAATGCCCAAAAAACAATAAAAAAACAACAACAGAAAAACCTGGAATTAATAGTACCACTACCTTCCAGTCTGAAAACCCAAAAGCTCAAACAAAAAAAGTTTCCACATGCTTTATTTTTCATTAGTCGCTTTCCAAACATAAAAGTCCTTATTTTCTCCATTCGTCTTGTTTAAAACTCAAGTCAATGAATGAATGAAGTTTCTTAAAGGAGACATATTATGCCCTTTTTACAATATGTGAAACTTACAGATTAAAGGGCGGTAATATTATAATGAGATCCCTTTACCACGTCACCAAGGCAGCGGCTCATTTTTTCAGACGCTTGCAGGAAAAGGCTTACCAAAACAAAGTTACTGGGTTAATCTTTTTCACGTTTCCTTGGTTGGTAGATGCACCGGGGACCTGATTATAGCACTTAAAACCTGGAAAAGTCTGATTTTCATGATATGTCACCTTTAAAATGCCCCAAAAGCAACAGAAAAACCTGGAATTAACAGCACAGTTCAGTCTTAAACCTCAAAAAAGCCGGTTTCCAAAAGCTCTACTTTTTATTAGAGAAAATTTTCGAACACCTTTCATAAAAGTCCATCATATTTTCTACATTTGTCTTGTTTAAAACTCAAGACAATGACTGCAAAATGAGTATCAAGTCACGTTGCAAACATACTGTATTAACAAGAAGAAACAATTTAATACTAAGGTAGTTTCCTAAAATGCCCAATAAACAATAACAAAAAAAATAACAGAAACTTGGAATTAACGTCCAGTCTTAAAACTCAAAAAAGCAGGTTTCCACAAGCTCTACTTTTCATTAGAGAAACTTTCCAAACGTCTCTCATGAAAGTCCTTCTTATTTTCTCCATCCGTCTTGTTTAAAACTCATTGGCCAAGTCACAATCGCTGGCATTGCATTTCACCCAAGGTCAAGTAAAGCGCACGCTTACCTCTGCTTTCCTGTCAGCGGCTCAGCGCAGCGCTCAGGTAAATGTCTAATCTCAGACCGCTCGCTGCTGATGGTGGGAAAGTGCATAGCATGACAGCACGGCTGCACTGGAGGCCCACGGGGACGCTCTTTGTTTGAAATACTTTGCGGTCACACCCTGCTTTAGTAGCAATTGACTTGATTCCTCCCCTCCTCCTTACCTTTCTGAGGTCAACAGGCATCGCTCATGCACACACAAAAACTGCGCCCTAAGGACTCGCCTCATTTGCATTGTGCAACTGATAGAGCTGCACTGCGAGGGCGTGATCAGCGGTTCACTCAGCCTGAAAGATAAGACAAAGCACAGGCAGTGACTCAGTGCCACGCCGTCTCTACTCACACACATTAATTACCTGGAATTCAGGAGACACCTTTAGTTATAGCAGTTGATCTCAACTAGTGTTACTTCAGGACACAGATTTTACACTGGACATCAAGCGGTGAGCAAACACGATGCAAGAATTGGTGCATAAAACGTCAACAAAAACAAGGTGAATATAAAACCAGTAATGCATTTTATCATGAACTGCACTGGTCCAACAATATGGTTAATTATTAACATGACACAATAGAGAAATACGCAATTCTGGTTCTTAAATGTCAATCATTTCACCCACAACACACTGTGATCGACACAGATCATGTTTTGTTTTCTCTTTTTCCCTTCATTTATCTAATTCAGCTGACTTCTGCTAAGCAATAGATAATTTGCACCAAAATTATTTTGATTTCCTAACTGATCATATAGTTATTACATTAAATTATTTGTGCTTTCCTCTTTGATTGGGGTCAGTAAGATTTTTATAAGATTAAGAAAATGCTTATCAAGGCTGCATTTATTTGCTCAAAATACAGTAAAAACAGCAATATTGATAATAGAAATATTATTACAATTTAAAATCTCTGTTTTCTATTGTAATACATTTTAAAATGTAATTTATTCCTGTGATCAACGCTGAATTTTCAGCATCATTACTTCAGTGTCATATGATCCTTCAGAAATCATTCTAACATGCTGATTTGCTGCTCAAGAAACATTTCTGATTATTATGAATGTTGAAAGCAGCTGTGCTGCTTGATATTTGTTTGGAAATTATGATATGACATAATTTTAGTAAATATAAAACAATTTAATCAGGTTTATTTATATTGAGGAGCTACAACAAAATGAAAGGTTTTGTCCTTTGGGATTCTTGATTAGTTTAATTAATTAAATGCTCTTCAGTAACATTTAATGTGAAGAGAGTAATTATAGAACAAGCCTAATCAGGACATTAAAATGAGCAACAGCTGTGTGGTCTACTGTACTGATGCCTTTCCTTCTGAAAAGCTGTTGGCGACAGGAATGGTTGTTGATTCTGGATATTTGCATATAAACTGATGGAAATTAACTTGCTCTCGTTAGCTGGTGATGTAATTTAAATGCTAATGACGATGGTGTTGAGCTTAATCCCCCTTCCCAGTCAGTGGAATAAACCTGCAGTTTATATACTATAGACATGCACCTCATATACTGCGCTCACACTTACAGTTTTTACCTTTTGAGCAACAAAAATAAATTAATTAATAAAAACTGAATCAGGGACCCAAGTCAAATATTAATAAATTATTAGAAAAATATCAATTATAAATATATAATGAGATTATTTAAAATGCCATGGAATGTTGCAATAAATAAAAATACAATGATAAATAAAAATTAAAGAGGGACTGAATTTTTTTACAGGAAAAAAATAAAAGTACAATGAAACCTAAGAATGAATAAATAAATAAACTGAAAAATAACTAGATTTCATTATGAGAGCTGACACATTTTAAAGCATATTTCATGTCCTTTTTTTAACATGAAAAAATAAATGTACAAATGTACAGTGAAAATGTACAGTAAGCATAAACATTTCCATTTTACATGAAAATATAAATGCATTTAATGCTTTATTTATGCTTACATTTCATTATTCTTTTATTTTTTGAACATTCCATGTCATATTTCATCATTTCATTATATATATATATATATATATATATATATTAAATCGAGCATTCCATGTTGTATTTTATCATTCCACCATATATTTATACACCTGTTCCACCTTTATTTGATATTGTTGTAAGTCGCTTTGGATAAAAGCGTCTGCTAAATGACTAAATAAATAAATAAACTAAATAAATATTTATTTAATTCAATCTATTAAATCCTTCCATAACAATAATTTTGATGCAAAAATGATTTTTTTTGGTTCAGTGACGTATGTTTATTCACTGCATTAATCGAGGAGGTCATAACAGGTTGACATTTCTGATCAGTAATCTATCCTTGTTCATTAGCTTTAAGTCAAAGCTAACTAAGCGTGTTTCTCTGGGGTTCAATGCTGTTTAGCAGTTTTAGAAGTGAGGTAGGGTTGTAGGGGAAGAGACCCCTGTTATGTAGTCTGGTTACAGCGGTCCTCAACTCCATAAGACACACAAACACTTTACCCAGCAGAGAATCAGATGCATGTTCAGTCTGCACCATTCCAGATTGAGTCCTACCAGAATCTGCCTCAGTATTCCCAGAGTTCCTGTCAGGAACACGCTCTTCTGCCTCCTCGGATTCGTCTGAGCTCCCATAATCCACCAGTCGTGGGACATCGTTACCTGTTGACGATCTAGTGTAGGGAACAACATCCAGCGTTTTTGAAATAGCAGAAGGAGCTTGAATGGAAGGATCGGTTCTTCTTCCAGCACCATCACAATCTTCAATATGACGACAAGAGCTAGAGAAGGCCGTCTGGTCCTCGCGGAGAAGCTTCAGGTAGCGGACGCAGTACTCCAGGAAACACGTCTCGGAGGAGATGAGGAAGTCAAGCAGCACGCTGTGGTCGAAGGAGAGGGAGCGGAGCAGAAGTATGAAATGACAGTGAGGGTTACAACCCCAGAGTCTGAGCAGCTCAAACTGTGAAGAAAACAAAGGAATATTTGTCATTAACTTACTTTTATGTGTTAAGACATATTCTTAACTTATATATTTAATAATAAATATTTGTCATGAACTTACTTTTGTGTTAAGACATTCTTAACTTATACAGTGGTGTGAAAAAGTGTTGGCCCCCTTCCTGATTTCTTGAGCATTCATATTGCTTGTAGATATTATTGCACTTTGAGTGAAGTTAACCTGTGGCAAATTCAATTGAATGGGTATGATTTGGAAAGGCACACACATCTTAAAAGGTCTAACTGCTGATAATGCATAAGAGCTCAGAAACAGGGCCCTGAGGTCAAAAGAACTGCACGTAGAGCTCAGAAAAAAATCTGCTTCATTGAAGGGTCACAGAATCACGTAGCCTCCATTATCCATAATGGAAGAAGCTTGAAACAACCAGGACTCAGCTGGCCTCCTGGCCTAACTGAGCAATTGATGGAGAAGGGCTTTGGTTCAAATGTATATACTTTTAATAATAACTTTTATTTGTTAAGATGGTAAAACTTGGATTAGGGGACATATTAACTATTAAGAGTTTTCCCTCAATTCAAAAAACTGAAATAAGTACATTGCATAAGTATTCACTAAACTAAGTACTTAGCTGAAGCACCTTTACAGCCTCAAGTATTTTTGGGTATGATGCGTCAAGATTTGCACATAAGCATTTGGCAATTTTCTGCCATTTTTCTCCTCACCTCTCAAGCTGTCAGGTTGGATGGGGGCAGACACACATTTTCAGGTTTCTTTTCTGGGGCCATAGACAACTGTTTAAACTGGATGGCCTCCACCCAAACAAACTTGGTGCAAGAGTGCTAAAGGACAATATCTACTTCTCCCTCCATCATCCTTCAGTAGTGTGTGCCAAACCACCCGACCATAGGTACCGGTACCTATGTAACCAGTATGTACTAGATTAGAACCGAATCAGAACGCAGATTTCAGTGCCTCATTTCAGTGCTACATAAATGCTTGAGCGATCGATTGAAATATTTGTTCTCTGGTTCTCCGAAACGGATATAAGGATCACCGGCACCACATGTGAAAAATAATTTCCCGACTGAGAAAATTCACGAACGGCAGCAGGTATACCTATAGATATATCTATAGATACCGTTAGCTAGCTAAGCTAAACATTCTTAAATTAAAATGCCTAAAGCTAAACTTCCCTTTTAATGACTTGCAATGAGAAGCGTTTCTAAACCTGTTGTCCAACAAAAGAGAACACTATAACGTTTTTACTCCACAACTGCTTCCTTTTGTGATCTGATGTGGCTTCTTGTCACAGAATGAGGCAGAAAATATGTTCTATACTGTAAAAAGCATATGGTAAAAAGGCTATGTCGATTAGCAATGGATTATAAATATACTTAATTATGATGAAAATACCAAAGATGGCTTGAATAACACAGATACATATTAGGGATTTCCTGAGTTCTATTCCTTCTGTGATGCACATGTGGAGTTTCTGCGCGAAGGCGCCCTCTGGCGTCCAGTATGAATGAAACAGACATTAAATGTGTTTATAGCGCTCAGTAATGGCCAATCCATCCTATTTTGGGTAATTTTTTTTTAAGTATCGTTTCAGGCACCGGTATCGTAAAAAACCCAAACGATACCCAACCCTATTACCATTGTGTATGAAATGTGCTATATAAATAAATTTGCCTTGCCTTGCCTCAATTAACCCCTAATTTTCTGCTTATTAATAGTTAGTTGGGTAGTTGTTAAGTTTAGATATGGGGTATGATTAAGTGATCTAGAATATGGTCATGCAAAATAAGGCATTAATATGAGCTTTATAAGTACTAATAAACCGCCAATATGCTAGTAATATTCATGTTAATAAGCAACTAGTTAAGAGTGAGAATTGGTCCCTAAACTTGTCATGAGCTGGGTTTGCTTCTCTGTTTCTCTCTCACACACACGGGATTTCACACACACATACACACACTTACATATTCTATCATGCACACACACACACACACTCAGGCATGCCCATGCTCATTCTAGCTCTCATCTCCACCTGTTTGTCATCACAATCAGCGTGCGGGCTGCTTTGCGAGGACACCTGTTTCCACTCTGATCTATTAGTCACTCTATTTCTAGTGGTTGGGCTCACTGTTCTCTGTCGGATTATTGTGTGTCATGCATACGGTATTGTTTGGCCCTTCATGTCGATACAACCAGAGTTCTGACCATGTCTTGTCTTGCTTAGTGTGCTGTGCTCGTCTTAGTGTTCTCTCTGTCCGGTGGCTGCTTCCAGTGAGCCCAGC